GTAAACCTTTTGAAGTTTCCTAACTTACATCTGATTAGGGATGCACGATATTGGGATTTTGGCCGATATCCGATATGCTGATATTTTAAAACTCATGTAGCCGATAACCGATATTGATACTGATGTTAAAGCTGGACAAAAATAAGTAGTCATTGAAAATAGCAGTTTTGTTATCCATTTCTGACACTTTGAAAAATAATATACTCAAATATATTTTCATATGCTGATATCAAATTTATTTAAAAAAAACGCGGTATCGATCTATTTTACTTTCAAAATCTTGTGAAATTTCATTGTTTTGCTACAAACTTGTGATATTTTGCAAATTCTTGTGAGATTTTGTTAGTAAAATAGATCGATACCGTGTCAATATATCAACATATAACAATATGGCAAAATTTTGTGAATTTTCAGGGGATTTCGTAGCTTAACGATGACATATAGCAATATTTCATTAGTAAAAGATATTGATATGGTGTTTTTAAATGGCAATATATCAGCATATGAAGATATTGGGATATTTTAATGTATCAACATTTTTTCCTTCGTCTTTAGAAGTTTTTAAGTCTGTAAAAAAGAAGTTTTTGAGTAAGAAGAAGAAGTAGTATTTTTTTTTTTTTTAGACTTTAAAAACTCAGAAGCTGATCAAATATCGGGTTAAATATCGGTGGGGTGGCCGATTTCCGATATTCAGTTTTAAGGCCGATACAGGCCGATACCGATGGGGGCCGATTACTGTATATCGTGCATCCCTACATCTAATAACATCGATGCTCTCTGTAGGTCATTTATACGCATGCTCCATCAATCAATCAGCAAACTCCACACTGCAGAGTAAGTAAAGCTTTGCTTCAAATTAGGATTTAAACATCACCTCCCAGGAAGTTCAGGAAGGATTAAAGATATTCTCGATGTCTGGGAATGATTTGTGTTTTAAAATGAAAGGGGAAAGTCTTGGTTCCAAAGCTCAGAGTTCTCAACTATTATTCTATGGATGCTGAGATAACCAGGAGTGGAATTATAAACTGCACACAAGCAGGACTAATGAAGAGTTGCTGCAAAGTAAACACAGGAATTGCACGGTGATTAACGGATGAAACCGAATCAGCTTGGCTCAAAAGGACAGCTTTGGACATGCGATACACATGTTGGAATTTCTATACATATAGATAGTATAAACAGCCCCTGATTATAAATGTTTAGAGTTAGTTAAGAGAATATTAAGTTAGTCTGGAGCTATAGAACAACAAAGCTCCAAAAGAGCTCAGTTCAGTCCATGCTGGAGAAGTTGCAGGGATCCAAAGAGATCAGGTGGAAGAATCTGTTAAAGAGCAGAGCTATATACTCCAATAAAATCTGGCCTTTACTGAACAGTAACATAAAGAAAAAAGCACTGCTGAAAGAAAGTTGTAAGAAATCCAGTAAAAAAAGATCCGCAATGAGTCAAATTAGGGAACATCTTAAATGTGGAAAAAGATTCTGTAATTAAAGGTTAATAAAACTCAAGATGTTGCCCTTCATCCTAATAAATCCAGGAAAACCTTGGAAGGAAATCTGCTAGATTTTTCCAAGGACAGGAAACTGAGTCAGATGTTTATTTTTTGGAAAGGCAATGGCTTATATCAAAACATATTCATGCATGCTTCATTTAAAACCCAGACCTACAATCATGGACAAAAAAACACAATTGGCCGTATACCTTCCATTTCATGCTCTAAATGTATATTACAAGAAGAACATAATGAAGAATTAGAGAAAACAATAGTGGCTAAAAAAATCTTCCTAATTTCTGTCAATACGCTGCAGAACTTGTAGCGTCATGTTCCCCGATGCTCCTCTACAGCTTGAGCTTTTCACAAAGGAAAATGTGCAAAAAATGTAATTTTCATAAGCCCTGATCTTCCGAGATTCCAGATAATAAGCAATAAATAAATAGCTTGTGCAAAAAAAATAAATGTGTGAGCAATTTTAAGTTGGCATGTTGAGGGGTGATCTAGAAAGATTGCTCAACCAAATGTTAAGACATAAAAACTGGTTTGGGTTTATTAAAATGGACAGATTGGGTCTACTACTGGCACTTTTGAAAGATCTAAGCCTTGGAGATGATAATGATATAGAAAATATTTTTAAAAATCACATAAATGATACTACCTAATGTTAAGTGAAGTAAAACAATAAAAAAATGACATCAGTTAAAGTTTAATATAAAAAGTTAAATTGGTTATTAGACTATTATATGCCTATTTATGAAGATACACATGCAGTAAATGAGTTTGCATGCGCTGCCTGATGAACTGCATGCAAAAAGCTATGCACCTTCTTTAAAGGTCTGCTCTGCATGTGCTAACATATATGCATGTGTTCTAATACAAGCAGACATTTTGAAGATTGATGTACAAAGCTGGTAAAGACCTATCCCAAAAGGTTTGCTGTTTTAATTGGAGCAGAAAATGTAGACTCACTTTATTGTTGACCAATGGACAGTAAATATTTACAAGTTATATTTATATGTATATTTAATACCAATCCTCTCTCTCCTGCTCATATCACAGTTATACATTTTCCTAGTGTATCACCAAAAAATCCAGAAGCAAAAATGTTAAAGTCAAGCTACTTTTTTTTGCACTGTTTAATCCCTGAGGAACTCGAACGGTGTATTGCTCTTTTTATAGACAGTAGCTTTTTTTTCCAGCGGTTGTCAATAATTTCCCGTCAAGGGCAGGATGCAACAGTCTGCTCTAGTCAGGCTAATAAAATAAAATCTCTGTACTCTGTTTTCTACATCCAACATGTAAGCATAGCCAGAAAAAAAGGGTGAGATGTTAACTTTAAAATCTAATATAATTGGGACTTTCCCAGCTCATGTTTTTCAAACTTAATATTTCATTATAGAAATAAATCAACCATGAACTCTTTTTAAGTTTCAGTCTAAAGCTCTTACTTTTTGTAGTTTTGACTGACAAATTTACATAAAATTTAGAAATAATACAAACATCTGGGACATTTTCTAAATTCCAAGTTATGCAAAGCAATGAACGACACGACTGCAGAAAAGAAACAAACTTGATGACCTGCTTACCGGCACAGACAAATAAAACAGTCTTAATAGAGAAAAGACAAAGATTTCACTGATTTGAGATATTCTCAGGAGAATTAGGAAACACCTCAATACAGATGTTCAGCTCAATTTAGACTTTATAGTGTGCAATGTGGAGCAGGGGTGTGGTGAGATTCCAGCCTTGGAGTGTTATGGTGAGACTCCGGCATGGAACAGGTAATGTCTACAAACAAGACTTCGGTTCAAAGAAGGCTCTTTGCTGCGATACCCGACTCCAGATTAAACCCACAGTTATCTCTAGAATAAAAACTGGTGTGTCGGCTCTAAGTTTGTGTGTTTCCATGGTAACGGCTGCTTAATGTAACAGTCATCAAGGCTCATTGTGTTTGCTCTGAAGCAAACTTCATCCCTGCCAACCTCTGAGTGTTATTTTTAAAAACAAAATCTGATTCCAGAGTTTTTTCCCCTTGAGTCAGAAAGGATCGGGTTTCTGCAGGTTAAACCATCTAAAATTATCTGTTAGAGCTGTTAGGATTTTTCTTTATATTTGGAAATTACAAATCAGCTTACTGAGCTGCAGGAACCAGACGCACAAAACACTTGAGTAAACGAGCCAATTTCTGACACCTCTTCAGTTATACCTGACTGATTATCAGCTGATCAAACAAAACTTTATTATGAGAGGAATGCAGCAGTAGTTTGAAGGAAACAGAGCATGGGGGGTTCCAGACAGGGGCCAACGGGGGCCAGTGCCCCTGTAGATCATGTCTTGACCCCTGTACTGAAGACATAATACTCAAAGAAATTATGCACTGGAACAGACATGTTTACTGATTGGTCTTTTGGATCCATTTAATTTTTTCTTTTCAAATTCTGTTTTATTAAATATTAAAAAATAATAGGATGATAGATTCAGTGGTATTGAGATAGGATCCCAGTTTTCAGCTGCTAAATGTTTTTTAAAACAAATAAAAAAAATTCTCTAATTTTTACAGCTGAATTCATCCGTTTTTCTTGAGTTCTAATTTAGATTTTATAAAAAAAAGTTATTTTAAATTAAAATAAGTCAAACATATGTAAAATTAATAATTTCTTAATCTATTTTCACCAAATAAGACAGAATTTTAATTAAACCTACTTGAATAGAAATTTCACTTCATGCAGCTATCTTAATATATTTGAATACTTGCCCTGTTTTTTTTATTTTATTTCATGCTTTTTTGTTCCCCCATGAAAACACACTGGCCCCCTCCCGGGCCCCTCCTGGCCCCCTGGTACATTTGGTCTAGAACCGCCACTGAAACAGAGACTATGTATGTTTATTAAATAATGAGACTTTTTTTTTAATAAAATATGTTATCCAATCATTATGCTACATAAATTCACTAACAAAGTTAACAATAAAACATAATTTCACGGTGGTATCAATAAGAGCTTGTTTATTTTTAAAGTGAACGTTGCTTTTTTATGTTTATTATAATATATTTTCTGTATGTGTTTGTTAGTTTCCTGAAGTTTTATTTTTATTTGTAAAACTAAACCTGCTGTAAATAGTCCCTCCGCCCAAGCGCTGCGGAGGGATATCTTCGGTCCACGCTGGTGGTCGCATATCGATCTCTATCTTATAAATTAGTAAACAGGTCACGTGCGGTGGATTGTCGTTTTGTGGAGCCTGTCTGTTTGTTTTGGTTCTGGTTCCGGACTCTTTCTCTGACCTGGAGCCTCAATAAAAACCAAATCTAATAGAATCAGCAGAACTCCTCCATCAATGAGCCGAAACTTTAAACTTTGTCACACCGTGGACTGTCTGCGCTCCCTATGAGGAGCAGGAGGAGGAGGAGGAGGAGGAGGCTTCCTCTGTTTGGTACCCTGCTCCATCCTGACTGAAACTTCCCATGCATGCTCCTGAGCGCCATCCCGGTGCAGACCCAGCTGCTCTTACCTTGCAGGTTCTGCACTCGGATGTCGCTGATCTGCCCGATGAACTCCTCCCGCTCGAACCAGTCATCCCAGCGGTGTCCAGCCATCCGGACAGCGCTACGGGAGTCCGGGAGGGACACGGGGCTTCGCTGTTGTCTGTTATCACACAGCGGACTGCTCTATCAGTGCACCAACATCTCTGCTCCACACTGCGGCTTCTTCCGTCTCTGCTCCGCGCTCAGAGCCACTGAGCTCCGGGAGGAGGAGGAGGAGGGAGCCGCTGCACCTGGTTGGTGTTCCCGAGGTGGGATGGAGCTGGTCCAGGGACCGCCCCCTAGTCCACCTCCGCCTTCCCTCACCCCCTCAAACACACACATCAACACACACGCAGCATGATCCACACGTACACATGCAATGAAGCATAAAATGCTCACACTGCTGCAGGAGTCTAAGTTATGGTTGAGATATTCACTGTAGCCACTGATGCATTTTTATCAATATAAAAGCCAAATATACCAGTGAAATATGGAATTGGCATTTAGAATAAACAATAGATTCATCAAGAATCTTTTTTAGCTACTCACAATAAAACATTAACTGGTTGATCAGTTAATAACCAGCCTAATTAAGCTGTGCAGCAGGGGTGGAGCTAGATGGGGGGCCAGGAGTGGACATGGCCACCCTTATGCTACGTTCACACCAAAAGCAGCAGAGGCAGCAGGAGCAGCTAGTTTACATGCAAAGACAAGAGGCAGCAAAATGTCACGCAACGCATTTTAAGCAGCAGCCGCGGCGGGTCGTGACCTGAGCATCTGACGCACGGGACGCTACGCAAACATAGTTGCTGTTCGAGTTGGAAAAACTGAACTGTTGCTGCTCGATGTGCCACATCAAACAATCAGAGAAGCTGATCTGGGAGCTGGCAGAGAGACAGACATATCACTGATGATACAGATCGATCACTCCTCTGAAACAGTTTATTAATGCCTAAATTAACTTAAATGCCGAAATCTGCAAACATGTTCACTTTTATTATCCTGGTGCCTGTAGTTTGGATCACATGAAAAGTGCCTTCCAGCCACCGTGGCGAACCACAAAGAGGTGACCTAGCCAGAGGCTGCTGTGCAGGCACGTGCAGAGGGGGGGCTAAGGGGGCTTGAGCACCTGCCCCTTTTGCTCCATGATCCCAATGTGCCCTTTTGGTCCTTTTTTTTTTTTTTTTTTTTTTTTTTTTGACACATGTACTGAAATTATTATTATTATCATTTTTTTTTTTGGCAAGAAAAACAATACAATAAGCCCTCCGGTCACATTGTTACCTTTGACCTTTTGCCGGTGACGACGCACCTGCCTCTCGCACAGTCAGATAAGGCGGCTAACTGCGGAGCTAAAGGTAGCGAATATTCCACATTACACTGTGGCCGCTGCTCATTTGGCCCTAAGCAAGATCAACCATGATCGGACGGATGGCTATGTCTTCAGTCTGCACCGCCTCTCCAATGTCAACCTGAATAGAGATGTAAGTGAAACCAAATGAGCCCCATGGATGATGCAGTATTGTTTGATCTAAAACACTGTTTGCTCTGTGCTTTTAGTCTTTTACATTGAAAATTATGTTTTTTAATTCACAAAAAACTGTTCTGTAATGATTACAGAACAGTTTTTTTGTGAATTAAAAAACAATTTTTGGTGAAAATACTGGAGTAGGCTTCCTACTTGTCAGACAACGGAAAACTTTGAACGTTGTATAATTTCTCTACTTTAGCAAAGAGTAGCGGTTTAAACGGAGGAAAGTATAGGACGCTGCGCGCCTTTCTCTGAAGAACTACTGAGCGGGAGGAGACAGCCAGGTGAGGAAAAGCTGTTCTTATCTATCGATTCAGTATTTTTATCATACAGACATTAGGCTGTTGTTCTTGTGCTATGAGCTAGCTGCTAGCTAATGACTTTGCTAGCAAAGCAAGATAACTAAAAAGCTTCCCTGTGTCGTTAATGATAGTAGGACATTCTTCAGTATTACTTATGCAGTAGGGGCACATCGCCCGTCAAAAACCTATCATCTCCATAATGGATATATGTCTGATTTTCTAATTTCCTTTGCTGCATGATGTGCATTTCATTTATTCTAGCGTTAGGTAAATGTATCTTAAAGGAGAACTCATCCAGAACTACCATGATAGATATATGATAGATATAATGTATGAAGCTGGTGAAAACAAAACTGCGCAGCTTATGCAAGGAGGATCGGTTGTCAGACCTTCTTTTGTTGGCAATCGAGAAGGATGTGCCAATTAATCACAGTGAGGTTATTAACATTTTTAAAGACATGGCTAACAGAAAACTGCTGCTGTGAACAAAAGAGAACAAAAATAGCAAAAATGCTTAAAAGTTGGAAATTTGTTTTTAAACTGTTAAATCACCATGACGGAAAATAAGTTTTTGGATCATAATCTTGGATTTAGTTTGGGGGAAAAAGAAAGGCATGAGACTGAAATAAATAAGACATTGACCTTCACTCAACACAGAAAAGATGAGACAATGAGGAAAAAAAGAAAAGAGAAACTGACAAGAAAAAACGAAGAGGAAAGATTGAAGAAAATGTATATAGGTACTTACAAAATACACTAAGACACAGAGTAGGCTTTTCTCATGGTGACATGCATTAATAAAATGTTTGTTTTGTTCTTTTTTGCTGCAGTTCCACGTAAAAGTTTGATGCAGCAGCTCTGCTTTTCTGAATGGACCATCTCCATCTCCACTGTCAGTACAGCAAACCAGGCAGACATTCTTTTTTATAGATTACAGTACACTAAAAGGTTGCATTGTGCCCTTGTATGCATTTTTAACAGTTTAATTCTGTAAAGACAAAATATGTCTGGTGGTCCAGCTCTGATTTACATCTTTGGCTAAATTGCAGGTTTGAATATTGTAATACTTTCCTATAAGAAAATAGACCTGCAGAAAGAAATTACTAATAAAATATTTTACATATGCATAGTTCTATGTTCTATGTAGAGATTTCCCTTAGCTTTGATTGTATGTCTCACAATTTTGTAATATATCATTGTTCATTAAACTCTGAAAGCTATGTGACTTTGTTAATATTCTGTCCTAAAATGCGATAAGATGTGCCCTTTTTTTTTTTTTGAGCACCTGCCCCTTTAGTGGTCTCTGCACGGCCCTGCTGCTGTGAGTGGGATTCCTACTGACAGCACACCGTCGGTATATCAGGGTCTGAACGGCTCCGACAGCGGAATAATATTTGAAGGAACGATGGTAATCTGGATGAACTGACTGCACTGATGAAGTTTTCAGGTGGACTTTCTCACTGAAAAACATATAAAAACTACTTTATTACCACTGATCACAGCATATTTAGCTGCCATTGTTACAGAAAAAGAAAGGATAGGGTAGCTCCGCCCAACGCCATCCGGATTGTACATATGACAGCTCAAACCTCTGTGCTACTCCCTTGTATTTTTTATTTTTTTATTTCTTATTTTTATTTTGTTTTTCATTGTGTGTGATACATATACACTTGCACCTTAATCTTTATTTATCTTGATATGCTGTATATACCTGGATATACTGTATATATATTGTCTATTCTTAATGCACCTTTTCCCTTCTTGTTTGCACCTTCTTTAATTACTTTGCCAGTATGTGACCAGTGAATTTCTCCGCTGTGAGATCAATAAAGCTCATCTAATCTAATCTAATCTAATCTAATCTAACCTCTTTTCCACCGTGCACCTGAAGCTCTTGTACAAGCATCAAAAATGAAGCAGCATGCACGTTTTGGCTGACTTTCCTGCTTTTGGTGTGAACGGAGCATAAGCCAATCATTGCCAGTTTTTCCCTCTAATTCAGACGGTGGCAGCAGTAATACTCTGAAGGGGAAAGTTCAAACTTATTTAACATTTAAATTTTTCATATATTAACAACTACCTGACAACAGAAAGACTGTGGTTAATTATGCACATGAATATAAAAACATTAAAGATGATAGATACCGAATTCATGCTATTTTCCGAACTAAATTTTGAATTATTTGCGGTAAAGATACAATTATATACCTCTGCAAGTAATCTAGGAGACTTCAGTGAAATCATAGATAAATAACTACTTTAATAATAACTTAAGAATTCATTAAATGTGGATATTAGTAGATTTAAATATTAATATTGATAAAAGTAGGTAATGACAATGTAAAATATGTTCGCTTCAGAACTCAAACCTGAAAGAATTTTGTCCACTATATCTTTTATTTACACAGCATAGATAAATATGTATTTGTTAGTAAAGGCTGCAGGAAAGTATAGTTTGTCTTTATTTAGAAAATATGGATGTTGTGCTCATTCCTGTTGGAACAGTGTAGATTGACCCTGAGGTTCTGGTGCCCCTCCGCCACCCCACAATGTACATTGGTTATTGCCTGGCCACCCCTATTGGGATTTTCTGGCTACGCCTCTGCTGTGCAGTAAATAAGAATGTTAATTACCCTGCAGCACTACAGCAACAACACCTGGGTCAAAACTGTTCACTGAACGATCCGTGAGAGCAATAATGAAATTATCTTCACAGAACACATACTGAAGGCCTAATTATTGCGTTATTGTGAAGGTCTTTAATCTTACAATGTGAAAGCAGACAAACATGCTTGGAATATAAAACAGATTTTGAATGTATTCCCTGAGTTATAGGGACAGTTTCATCATCCAGTTATTCAGCTGGATATTAAATGTATGCATTGTAAGGGATGAAAACACATGTTTTGGTAATAAAGAACAAGAGTTAAGTCTGCAGCATTGAATGCAAACAGTCGTCATCCTTAAAATTTCTTCATGATTGAAATCTTGATATTGATGAGTTGGAAGAAAATACTTGTAGATATCCATATAGACTGTATAATTTAGTATCTAAGCTCATTTCTCTGTTCTCTATCCATACTTTGTGCTTCATGTTTACACATCACATCAATTTCATCATGTCAGAAAGTAGTTTTACTGCTCTATGACCTGATAATCCACTGAGCTCAGACTTTTAGGACTAGTACCTGGCTTCAGCTGTGCCATGAGGTTCTGCAGGCTAATTAACACCCAGCAGCAGGGGCCCCATTGATGCCAGCCTGGATCTGTTTTTGCATCCTGCTGATATTGACTGAACATCTGCAGCTGTTGAACAGTCAGAAGCCGATCAAACCAGGTCATGTTGCTTTACCTTTCAAGCACCTTATTATAGAAATAAAGGCAAATGTTTTAGAACAGAAACAAAACTATGTAATTTGAGCTAGCCTGAAATAAATAGTTTTTAGG